TTGTTAGATGCAAGAGCTCAGTGCCTGCCTAGAGCAGGTCCAGAAGTAGTTTAACCATGGTAACATTCACATTGCAACCATTGGTTTCACATTTTACATGCAGTTAAATGGAGACCTTTCCTCTCTGACTAAGGCAGTCATTTCTGCCTGTAGTAGCTGTTGCATTTAGCTATGTCAGCTTAATTTAAATAAGTTTGAAATAAAATGAGGTTAAATTAATACTTGCTTTTAATGTTGGAGCACTAAGGACAAGATTTGTCTTATTTTTCCAACTATTCCAGCTGGTCCTCTAAAAGATGCTATCTTTGCCTACAAGCCTGGTCCTTCATATGTCTTTTCCCCTTTTCAGCTACAACAAAGTACCGTTACAACTGGAAAATGTTTTTGCTGAATATGGCTCAAGGTTGTGGGGGTGATTTTCAAATTCCAGTTAGAGACATTACACTTTATCTTCTGCTATGTAGGAGCTGTACATCAGTTGGTTTCCATTCCACCAACCTACTGCTGGAAAAAGAGATAGGAAATCTTGCTTTTTGCCAAAATAAGTGGGAGTATAAAAAAGGAGAGAAAAGAATTGCAGGCATTGCTAAATATTCACATACAGAGAGGTTCATATGTCAAAGCCAGCATCTTTAAACTGATGGTGGATTTTTGTGTACCCACTTCTACTTAGTTTAAATGTATCATGTTCTTCTGTTTGGTCACTCACTCTGTTTTTAAGCCTGGTTGTCATTAGTATTGAAACACACCTTTGTTCTTTACTGCCGATTGTACCACACGTTCCTAAGTCACAGAATCCCAACTTAGTTTGTAAGGCTTTTATTGTACGTTTCCTTGTTAAATTACTGTCAGGCTTTCTGACAATAGCAGTGTATTCTGATTATTGTGGGCAAAAGCAGAGAGGAAGAAAAGCTGTTGAGAATGCAAACATTTTCTTAGCTGAAACTTGTGGCTTAAAGTATTTTGCTTGTACAAGCAGAAGAACTGTGTGTGCTCAAGACCTCTAAAAGAACTCAAGGACGAAATAGCTGAGCTCTTAACTGCACAGTGTAATCCTTTGCTTAAACCTGCTTGACTACCACAAGATTGCTTGGCAGAGGTATTTCGAAAAAAGTTGCAGGGAAGATCAGAAAAATACTAACTAATAAACCTGATGTCTCTATAAGGCAAATCAGTAATAATATGGAGTACGATAAGTGAACACATGAATAAATATGACGTATCCAGGAAGAGTTGGCACAGCTTTTGTTAAAAGGGGTTGCGCTTCACAATCGTGTCAGACAGAGTACTTTGAAGAAGTTTGGAAGGAATAAGGAAGACCTCACTGATACAGTCTGTTGGGATTTCCAGAAAGCATTTGCAAGGCAACTGAGCAGTCACAAAAGGGGAAGGCCTGGATCAAGTTCTAGGGCAGGTTTAAAACAAATGAGGGAAGGTGGTTTTCAAAAGAGGCAGTTGCTGAACAAAGGGACTCCTTGCCACGGGATGGTCTAGAGCCTAAAAGATTTTGTGGATCACAGGACTGATTAGATTAATTTACAGAAGTACAGAGGTATAAGCCCTGGTTCAGAAAGTACCTGACCACAATTTTTTTTCATGCAAGGAAAGTGTTCTGGGAAGGTATTGTTACATTTTCACCTGTTCTCCTGGCCTTTCTTTATCTCCCACTGTTGGGTGCTGATAGAAACTGAATAGTGTATCTTTTCTCTGACCGAGAGTGTTCTTGTGAGGGTGCAGTTGCACACATTGAAATTTTCTGCAAATATGGTCATTAGTGTTTTAAAATGGCATACCCTCTATGTGTTTGATAGATGAACTGTTGCAACATATTACTACAGTGTAATGTTGTACACTCTTGTCAAAATATTTGGTTTTCCAGAAAGATGTCTGCTAATCTGGGGACAAAGAGTTGCAAAGTACAAAATAAATATGTTATTTTCTACTACCATATGACAGAATATTGTAAGTCTTCAGCCATCTGTAATGCAGTAATTGATTTATAATTAAATTAGAAAAATGTTGTCAATTGTTCTTATGTATTAGAGAATACCCAGCTATTTAATACTGCTGAACAGAAAATCAAATACATTCACATGACATCTGGGGGCTCTGTAGAAATAGAGTTGAGACAGTAGTTATAAATGCTGCAAGAGAAAGGCCAGCCAGCCAAAAATACTATCCATTTAGCAGTCCCTAATCCAAAGTATACCCCAGCCATGGTTCGTCTAAGACATACCTGATCCATAGATTAGACACACAGATTGATTAAAGCATGCAATTTAATTTGATTATATGCATATTCACACATGTGGAACACAAGTGAAGACAACAAATTAGCTGTTGTCTCAAAATGAGTCTGGAACTTCTGCGCTGCAAAATGTGTTAACTTAGAAAGCTCTGGTCCCCAAATGTCACAGTTGGAATTTTTTTGTTTCCATTCAATTTTTTATGTATCGTATTGATACGTAACATCCTGGGGGTTTTTAATTCCATTTTGCATTGTTCTTGTAAGTACTGTTACTTGTACCAAAACACATGATGTTTGTCTCATGTGATTAGTTCTGGCTTGCCTGATAATTGACAGAATATAGAAATTACAATATAGTCCAAACCCCATACATAAACACTTTGATTTATGGAAACTTACTTATACCTTTCAAATCCCAGGGATGATCTTTTTCACTCTTTTAATATTTCAGAGAAGTAGCACTAAAAACAATTGGCTGGTTAAAGTACAGATGTTCAGAAGAAAAGCAGTGAAGGCCAGTATTGCAAAGTGGCTTCATGATTTGTTATTTTATAATTATTTTGTAATTATTTCAAAAATTAAGTCCTCTTTCCATTACATAAAAGGCAAAAATATTTTTATCTTTAGATAAGAAATCCATAAAACTTAACTGAGATTTAATTAAAGTCATACTCCGGAAATTAAATGCTTTACCCCAAAAAATGCTGAATACAGTGTAACACCATTTTTTGGTCTTTCAACAGTATCCTCTACTTTCTGTCTAACCTAAGTCCTGTGAGGGAACTCGCAGATACTATCTCTCTAATTTCCTTTAATGTCTTTACTAGGAGAATTCTTCACCAGTGTGATCTGATGATCTTTTATGTTACTCCCATAAAAGTATTCTCTGTTGATTTTCTTCTTATCAGTTTTTCCTGAAACATTGAAAATACAAAAGTTACAATACAATACAAATACAATACAATACAAACAGTATTTGAAATTTTGTTTAACTGACAGTATCCTAATGTAATGGCAGGCTTTCAGTGTTCCTGCACTACAGTCTATAACATTTTGTGTGGAGTTGCAATAATCCACAATTGCTATAGCTTTTGTTATTGCAAAATATATGCAGGGAGTTTCTGGCTCTCTCCCTATAATTTTTATTAAAGTGATATTTTAAAAGGAGTCTGTAAAAAAAGTACAAAGTTTATGTCCTGCTATACATATATTTATGTATTTGCAAAATTGGGACTTGGGGGGGGGGGATGTACTGGGAAGAGAACAGGAAGTTGGTATTGGCCTACAAAAATCAATGAAACCATAATGTAACTACACAGATAATTGTATCATAAGTTCATTGTGTCAGTTACAAAATTCAGTTATCATTGCCCTTTTTGGTGAACTGCTGCAAGAAAAAAATTATATACTACCACACTTTCCACAGCTTCTGAGAATGTATTTGGCCTCTTTTGGCTGAATTTGTTCGCAAATCAAGTCCACCTAAATATTTATAAATTATCAAATTATCCTTACAGCTATCTACCATCAGTACAGGTCTTTGCAGAACCACTGCAAGGTCAGGTGGGTTCTTTCGCTCTGCTTCTAGGTCTCAGTTACACCCTGATTAGCTAAGAATGGCACCTGGTATATCAAGAGCTACCAGCTCTTCATAACTTTTTTTTTTTTCCTGATAGTAGATTTTGTAGCATGAACAGAGCTCGCCCATAGCTGCTGAAAAATCATCCCTTTAAAGATACTTGCATTATGTGGATTAAGTTACTCATTCATCTTCCTTTGCAGCAACTGCATTGGAACTAGAGTTAAAAATGGTGAACATCCTACGCCTTGGCTACATGCAGATGGTTGCCTTCTACACCAGAAACCTCGGACTTTTTTCTTAAGCTGAGATTTTAGCTGCTGAAGGGTGTTGCTCATTTCTGCTAATAAATTCCAACTTAACAGTTTCTGATTCTGTATTTCCTGAAAAGTGTTCTAGTCCATGGTGACCAGAGTGCTAGTGATTTGTATCCATTCTGCCCTTCCAGACTAGCCATGTCATGACAAAGCCTTCCTAGCCTATTCAGAAGTCTCGTGGTTTCTCCTATCATTTTTCAGTCCTTTCAGAACTTCCAGATCCTCTTTCCTTTCTTTTTATAACGGTTGAAGTTTTTGTTTTAATTCCTCCTGGCCTTTTCTTTTTTGTTATTTTTTATGGGAAAGGGTTCCTGAAGAAAACATGAGAGTGAGACATATTGTTGTTATTACATCATCAATGCAAACAATGGGAAACAAATGCAATTTTAGAATATAGTTGTAAAACATATGACATAAGATACCTGCAGGGCTTTCTAAAAAAAGCATTGATCATATAAAATCAGTTATTTTCTCTGAAGAGTGAGGTAGAATTGGTTTTGGTTTTTTCAACTTTATTATTTCAATTTCAATTAATTGATCCTTGGTCCTTCCAAAAAAAAGTAATTAAAAGAATTTGTATAGAATATATCTGCTAACTGGTTTACTTATCTTGACTGATAGAAAAATGTATAGGAAGATCTGTTTATCTGTGGTTTTGTATGTGTTTGCACATGTGTGTATTCCTAATTTGAAGAGACAGCTATTTCATAGTTAAAAATGCTGAAGTAGAAGATCTTTTACAAGGTACATGACAACCGCTTCTCAAAATTTAATTGCAACATCATTTAGTGCATACATAGAACTGAGCTTACCATCTCCATCAGCTATATAGTTCATACATTTAATATCTTTACAGCTCTGATAGCCATTGGACGATACAGCATGACAATAGAGACAGTGGATGTTGGATGGTGCAAAGAAATCACAGACCATGGTGCCACCCAAATTGCACAAAGCAGCAAGTCTCTCAGATATTTAGGGCTGATGAGATGCGATCAGGTAAGGAACATTTGCGTGAACTGGTGCCTGCTTCTAAGTGCGTGTGAGAGTAAGTGTTCACTGGTGTAAGTGTGAGTGAGGGAGAGATGGGAAGATTTATGTTTTTCTGTACAAACAGGTTTGATATTCACTACTGTGGTAACTCATTTAGTGTACTGTATTCACATATTTAACTAAAAAAGTATCTAGAGATCTAAAAAGAGCATTATAAATTTTTGCTGACATAGATTTTCAAAATACACCCACAGGCTACACCCACAGCCTGAGGTGCTCACAAAAGTTTTATGTAAAATCTTCCCTCTGAGGGTTTTGAATATTTTTGGCTAAAAGTGATTGGTGTGTCATGTCATTACTATGACAGACTACTTTGGGTTTTTAAAAAAAAAGAAAAAAAAGAAACAAAAGGATAACAAAGATACTTCAGTGTTACTTCCAGAGTGATTTTCTATATGTCTGTGTTCTTGCTTATATATAATGGTTTTGAAACACAAGGACAATAATTTCAATAAAAAAATAATGCTAAAAAAAGAAAGAAATATTGTAGCTTTCCTACGTGGAATATATTAAGAATATCTGTAAGTTTTAGCACTTTATCATTAGAAGAAAAGAGGACAAGGCAGTCCAGCTCCATCTCACCCTGTATATAGCCTTCAGGAATCAAGTCTTTGTTGAGAGAAGAGAGATCAAGAGGCCTGGGAACACAGCAGAAATAGCCAAAAGTCATTGGAGGTTCAGAGCCTCTGATCTCAAATCTTCAAATATAACTGCAGGGATTGTGTCTTTTCCAGCCATCATGAACAAAATGTCCAGCTTATGATGCCCATCATAAGCATGTCTCTTAGGCTTGCAAATTTCTGATTGGGTACAGCCTGTGGAAACACAGTTTTTTAGTCTAAGAAACTTCATGCTCAAAACCATTACCTTGCATCCCTTGCAGTGCTTTATAGAAGGCATTTACAAACCCCAGTTTTTCAGCTGGCAAGGAATAATAATTTCCAGGCCAGCTGTAAAGTTAGAAATAGCATTTAGCAAACCCAGCCTTAGACAGTTTCCAGTTTGAGGGGAGGTTGAGCACTTTGGCAGAATTGCTCTACCTATTAAAGCTGACTCCACTTCATCTCCTAAACATTAGTGTTTTATAAGAGCCACAAGACAAAAAGAGCGTGTGAGTCTGTTTGATGGATTGTGCTAAGATTGTGTATTTAAAGAATGTTCAAAGGGTTACTTGACCTTGGGAATTAGATCTGACCCTGAACCACCTGATCAATTTTACACATATATCTATTTTGTGGATTTAGCTAATGTTGAACAATCAACATGGATCTAATAAGTGCAATAATTTTATCCTGTCTTCAGCTGCTATAGAAAATCAATGATCTTGATGCTGAAAACAAGTTTTACTACCTCATCGGTTAAACTATATGTACTACAGTCTGTATTCCTCTAATTGCTGGTTAATGCTTTCCTAGTTCTTTACAAAAGATTATACACCATCTTTTATGTTACGGAAGTCAACTGCTAAAAGGAAAAATGAAGTACTTTTTGAGAAACCTTCAAGCAAAGTTGACTGCATGCCTGCAAATGTGCGTGTGTGTGTGTTTGCGTGTGTGCACGCATGCGTGTGTGCATGTATACAAGTATTCAAAGTATCATAGCTAAAACTTACTAAGAAATTACTAAATGCTGTCCAGCAAACACTGTAGTAGTAGGACGACCATTGAGAATTATTTTCTTGCTTGCAAAGCCTTGATGGGAAAAATAGCTCCACAGACAGAAGGAAGTAAGTATCCTTGACTTAAAAGTTTTTGGCAGCTAGAAGATGCCAGCTCCCTTTTTCCACTGCAAATGAACAGAGAAATTACAGAACAAAATCATGTCTTCAGCTGTCTCTCCCCAATATCATGCAGAACTAATTTTTTCCAGTGGCTGCTCTATTAAATTAAAAATGTCACTGTCCGGCACATCATTAAAGAGAATTCTTGGGTGGTGCAGAAGGGTTTATTTACATGCCTCGTTGACTGAAATTCTTGTCTTTGAACTATTGTCAGCTTGCAGTGAAGAGAGGGTTAGAAGATTTGCCCCTTCTAACCAGCCTTCTTTTCTGAGGTACTGACTGTTACGCTAGTGCCAGGTAGCATTTATGCCTTTCTAGGAATTTCCAGGCATTGGAAGGGAAGTACTTAAACACAGTTACATAAGGAACATATGTAAGTAGACTTCAAATGGTTACCACTAAAATACTCTTTATGACCCAGGCTCTTTGGAATTTCTTTGATATGCAGTTGACATAAATTAAAGGCGTCAAGGGTCCTCCCAGGAAAGATCAGAGAGGCTGCAAGCCTGGGTAAAGGCAGGCTCTGTTTTATGCCATTGATTATCTGAGTGCCCCCAGGCAATGTGCTTCAGTAGATGCAGAGCATTATTGATCCACACCATGAAAATAATCAAATTATTCATTTCTCATCAAACTGCTGTTGCCATGACCTTTCTTTTTATCATGTTTCCTACCATCTAACATGCACACCACAGGACCAATATAGACTTTGCTTTAAAATAAATGTCATTGTATTGAGAAGACTCATAGAAAATGCTGACTTTACCATGAGATCATCATCATGAGGGCATATATTTCAGTTGGAAGTTTTCTAATAAGCATTTTAACACTATTTTTTCAACCTTTAAGTGTTGCTAAGCAGCAACGTAATCACTTTTTACAAACCGCATACAGAAAAAAGTCAAAGATTATTAAATGATGAAAGTCTTTCAGAACTATGCACAGTAGAATTTTGGTTTAGAAAACATGTTTATGCTGAGATACATAAAATCTAAATGTTCTGTTCAATGTAAAAATATTAGAGGCAAGGTTACTTAGCCAATGTCTCTGTTTTTTTCTAATTTTCCCTAGCATCTCCATGACTTAGGCAAATTTGTCTTTCCCTGCACTACACAGCAGTGGTGCCTGGGGCCTGGAGAGAGCTCTGAATGAACTGGTACTACTGGAAAGACACAGGGCAGTGTAGATACACAGGCGTAAGTCCTGACAGCAGCTTAACTGCCAAAGTACAGCACCTTGTCCAGGAAAATTAGCATCCAGCAAGTCTCATGAGATATTGTCATATAGGACGTGGTACTGTAACTTATTGCTAGCTTGATCTCTAGAGCATCCTGCATTGTACAGCATAGATACAGTGAGACACATACCATTAGTCTTCGGTATCAGATAGGCTTCTGAGACAATGATCCAGACCTCCAAAAGTATTCAGGTGTTCAGAAAGCAGATGCCAAATATTTTTAAGTACCTATGTTATGGACAATGAAATTCCCCAGTTGTGTGCATACAAATATCAACACGTACTCGGAAGCAGCTGGGATCTTTCTTTTTGATCTCTCTCACGGTAGAGGGTGTCAACTGTGTGCAAATGTGTACTTGTGTGTCTATGTATGTGTGGGTCTGTGCAGGTACCTGACAGCACTCAGGACTGCACAAGTCACATGTTTCATAAAAGGCAAATGTTGCCATTCTGTCTTCTGAAAGCAGTAGGAGGTAAAATCAGTAGTTATTCAGGGCCTAAGCAGGACATTTTAGAGGTTTATATTTGGAAAAGGCACAAAGGACTTAGTATTTCTCGTTTGCATTCTGGTGTTACTGCCTACATTTGCGCTGTGCCCCACTCCCAAGGGCAGTGAGCCAGGCTTCATCCCCCTGTGTCGCTTCTTCCCAATGCTCTGGCAGCTCAGTGAAACCACAAACTCCCAGTTTCTCTGCACAGAGAAGTGCTGTGCTGTTGTGGGCTGCAGCCCAAGGTTGTGTTTTGGGAGTTGACAGGGGTGTGTGGGAACACGTAGCTGGTTTGTGTGCTGCCAGGGTACACTGAAGCTTTGATTTGTCACCTCAGTAAATAACGACAAAGGCACACAGTTGTCTCCAGAACCAGGAGTTTTATTCAATTCACCTCAGTTCAGTTTTCCAGCAAAAAGAGAATATGACTATCCATTCTTCAAATCAAATTTTAATTGTAGCTCTGTATTTTTTTATCACAGCTTAGGAAACTATATATTTTAAAGTATAATTTGTCCTTTCCTTTAAATACTTAAAATACTTTGAGACAGGTGTGGGCAGTTATGGGGTACTTTCTTTTCTCCCGCAAACACTGACATCAGGATTCCTAGGAGCCATACTTGCATCCTAAGGGCATAAAATGATGCCTACATCCAGTTCACAGATTCAAATCCGCATGTTTCAAGCTGCTTTTTCTGAACACAGTCCTACACATTCCTACCCCTAAACTGATCTAGATTATATTTATTTATTGTAGTTACTTAATTAACTATTTCTAAATATTTTGTATTTCCAAAATAAATCTAAGAGGAACACGTTCTGTATGCTATTTATTGCTCGAACTCATTTTAAACATGTCTTTGTAGCACTTCTTTATTGTGCTTTCACAACAATCCAAACAGCTTTAAATAATGGCAGTTTGAAATCTCCACCTTTGTGGAAAATGGCTGAGTATCACCTAGGAAATAGTGGGTAAAAACTTGATCTGTTTTTCTGGCTGATAGCTTGGCTGGTTGAACAATGTGTCAGAATAATCTTCCCATGAAGCTTGCAACTTTTGTCGCACAGATTTTCATATTTCAAGATCCTTCTCCTATAGCTGTGGTGCTATTTGCAATGGTTATCAGCAGTGCTACCACGTAAATGCAGGAGACATTTCTTGGGAAAATACACAGAAAAATGACACTGAGAAACAGAGGCCGCAAAATTCAACATGCACAGTTATGTGTGAATGAAATGAAGTGAGTCTGACAAAGTTGGCTGTGAATGGATACACAACTTCAGTTATAAAGGTCTTTATTCCTTGCTTTTTTCTTTTTTGCTTTTTTCTTTTTTTTTCTTTTTTTTTGAGAAATTCAGGTTGCTTTTCATGAAAATACTTATGAAAGCCTGTAGCTTTTTCCAGATGACTTTCTCAGATGAACTGTAGCATGTATTTCCT